TTCATAGGCAATTGCCTGAGAACCTGAGACCTCTCACACAAAAAATCATCTTCCTAAGGATCCACATAGCCATCAAAACAACATTTTAATAAAACATTTTTCATTCCTAGGGCTCAATAAATTTCTCATCAACTCTGCATACAGATTTAGCTCAAACTAAGATAGAAAATTAATATCTCTACAAAGAGAAGATAAATGTTTTGTAAATCATAACTTCCTTTACCTGTCATTCAGCTATACAGTTTCTTCTACTCCTTGGTACCATTTATGCCAACACACAAAAACAAGTCCTCTCAACAGTCTACAGGGCATGGAAATTTCTAACTTTTGAGAGTTTCTGTCACAAACACTGCCGATGTTGTTATTTTGCCCCACTGGTAGCTTTCCTGAAGGCCCTCTCTCTCTCTCTCTCTCTCTCTCTCTCTCTCTCTCTCTCCCTCTCTCCTCTCCTTTTCCTCTGCATCCCCCCATTTTTCTATTTCCCTTAATCCTTTTCAATGACTGCATGCATGCATGCATGTGTGTGTGCATATGTTAATAAGGACGTGAGTGCTGGCTAAGATAGAAAGAAAAGATGGGTAAGGCTGGAGCACTTGCTCTTTCCGAAGAACAGAATTCAAGTCTCAGAGATCTCATCAGGCAACTCATGTCTGCCCATAACTCCAGCTCCAGGGGATCAGCTATCCTCTAATGGACTCCCCAAACACATGAACATATGTGTTCATACACACATACACATAAATTAAAATAAAATAACTTTTTTAAAAACAATAAACCTTTCAGGAAAGTGAGTTAAATTGGCAAGATTCAACTGATAAAGGATCATTCTTTTTTTGTAGGTGAGACACTCAAGATATGAAACTTGGGCATGGGCTGGCTAAAATGGTTGTTCACCTTATATGCGTGATATGAACAGCTAAGCTCTAGTCCTGTCAATCTCTAAGGATGCCTTAAGAACAAAAGATGAAACTGTTTGTTTTAATCAGTTTTTACCACTATAAACAATACCTTGGTGAACATTTTGCAAAGGATTCGTGGTTTTGGAGGGTACAATCCATGATTGAGTGGCTGAATCTCTTTGTTTCTAGAGCTGACAACTCAGTATTGGAAAACCAATCAGGACCGATTCACCATCTCTCAGCGGTTATCTGCTTACAGCTCTTCCATCTGCTTGTGAAACGCAGAACCTCCACGGCATGCAAGAGCTCATAAAAGGAAAACACTGGAGCTTCCTTATACCAGATATTTGAAGCTTAACTCATTCCTGGCTCCAAAATGTGTGCCACAATATTAATGGTCTTCCTTTTCCTCAATAGTATGAATTACATAGACCTACATGTGTGTGTGCCAAATACTCATTTTTCTAACACACAACAGATTCATTCTACACACACAAACACACTCTATCTTCACTCATCTGCAATCACACATTCATACACACTCACGAGTTCACCCATGCACACACACTCACAGATCCACATATACTTTCCCACAGATTCACAGGTACTCACACACTCATACATTCACACAAATGTTATCTCTCTTACACACACACACACACACACACACACACACAAACTTTCTCTAAAGTTATGACCCCCTATATTTTATTAGTATTACTGTCATTTCCTCACTTCACAGAAGCAGAAGTTCTCAAAATGTCTTAACTAAGACCATCACACTTCAGATTCAGAAGAAATGTTAAATACCAGTTTGCCAAGCTCCTTTTCAAGACATAGAAAACATCTTTACATGTCTACTAAATGACATCCTTCTCTGTTTCAGAATAGCTTCGATGACAAGGAAAAATGGAATTATATGATCTCCGAAGAGCTATAATTGTTGGAATGTCTTTCCCCCGTCTGTAACCCTTACATCATAATAACACAGAAAATACCAGTGCTCAGATCTGACTTGCAAATGTACCAGATGTTAAAGGTACTGTCACTCCATTGGACAAATTCTGTCCTAGGCCTAGTCTCAGGACTGACTGACTAACACACTGCTCCCAGAAGTTGGCCTTTTTGTGAAGTCTGCAAACTCCAGGGACCTGAGAGAGTCAGAATTTGTATGATAATCCATTCATGAGCTTCGATGATGACACTAATGCTGCTTGAAACATGATTGCCCCTGAATCTAGATAGTTTCTTCTACTATAGAATCCAAGTAAGAGCTCTTCATTCTCAAATCATAAAAAGACACTCCAGTCAAACCACAGATAACAGTATACCTTCTACTTCAGAATGTCAGCCAGGAAGGTAGACCAAGCTTAGATTGTTCTCTACAAAGTGACAGCAAGGCACTATTGCTGAAGACAATACAACTCACTGAACATGATCAAGCTGGTCCTTACCTAAAGTCATCATCCCTACTGGCTAATGTTCATGGTACCAGAAGGTACTCTACCTATTAGCAAAGGAGAGACATAAACACCAAGCCAGCTATAAACCCTTCCCGCCTCCTAGATATGCTAGGGCAATGGCAGCACCAAGCAAGCTTGTCAGAGTAACCAATGAAAACCTGATTTGACTTAAAGCCAACTCCATGAGATGGAACCCACAGCCCGACAATATACAGAGAGTTAAATACCTTACAACAGTCAACTATAAAGAGGATACATCTATCAAATCCCTATCCCAAGGGCTCAGGGAACCCTGCAGAAGAGGAGGCAAAAAGTATGCAAGAGCCAGGGAGAATGAAGGAGAGGAAAACAAGGCCTTCAAGTACAACAGGACCACTGCACACAAGAACTCACAGACACTGAGGCAGCATGCCCAGGGCTGACACATGTCTGCACCATATAGGAATCCAGATCTGAAAGGAGAAGTGGACACAAGCTCTCACCCCTAACCCAGACACATTCTCCAGTTGATAGCCAATACAGCTTTCTCCCAGGGAGTCTCACTGGGGAAGCACCCTACTCTTTTTTTTATCATTTTTTTATTTGAATCAGAAACAAGATTGATTTACATGACAATCCCAGTTCCCTTCTCCCTCCCGTCCTGCCCTACCACCTCCCCAACTAAAACCTTACCTATCACATATCCTTTCTTCTAATCTACACCTGACTCAACCTTACTGCTCCCTCATGACCTCTGCATCCTTCCTCTTCTTCCCTTCTCATTCTCCTAACTCCCTCCCCCCTCTTCCCGTGCTCTCAATTTGCTCAGGGGATCGCAACCCTTTCCCCTTCTCCAGGGGACAAAGTTTGTCTCTTTTAGGGTCCTCCTTGTTTACTAGTTTCTCTGGCAGGAAATACCCTACTCTTAAGGATAGACTTCATGCCCACTGGTAGATGGCCAACAAAAAGCAAACTCAATGGCATCTTTGGAGGTTCCTTATCTCATAAGGTTGTCCAGGGTTTTTCTTTTTTTCTTTTCTTCTTAATTTTAACACTTTATTTTTACTCTTGCTTTTTTAAATTTTATTTCTACCCCCCCTTTTTTTTAACTTTACAGTTCCTTTGTGTATATATTATGGCTTCCAGTTTTGTGTTGTTGTGGGACCCTGAGTATTCGAAGAAGTTAATTTCTGTGTCTATATTTATTTTGTATACCTTTTCTTGGACTCTTTTTCTTATTTTTTTGTTTGTTTCTTCCAATTCCAACATGTTTGCTTTTGCTTATCTTACTATATTCTATCATTATCCCTTAGACGCCTATTGGTTTTCTAATGAAAGACAGAAAGGACATGGATCTGAATGAGAGAGGAGATGGTGGGAAGAAACTGAGAGGAGAAGAAGAAGGGGAAACCATGATCAGGTTGTGAGAAAACTCTATTTCAATAAGAGAAAAACATAATAAAAGTAAGGAATGAATGAATGAATGAATGAATGAATGAATGAGTCCTATTGTCATAGCTAATTCCTTCCAAGAGAACCCCATTGACATGGTGTTGGTAGCCAGCATATGTTTCATGCTTCACTTCATTTTTGCCACATTGCACATATTCAGTGGCTGTGACTGACCCTCTGTTCTGGTGTCTTCACCTGGTCCTAAAATGTAAGGAACTTCTTTACCTACTTAGCCCTTGTTACTAAATTTTCTTGTCTTGTCTTTGCTTTTGTCATTTTTTAGTATTACCTCAAAGAACACAACTTCCAAAAACATCCCTGAACTGTCTGACTGCTCTATTCCCACTATGCTGCCCCGCCCCCAGATCTGCAGTCATGTATCAGTAGGTGTCATCACTCTTGCCTGACTTGCTATCTTCTCTATTGTGATGCAAATGTACCAAGAGCATAGAATCCATCCATAATACTCTTACTGTATCTAGGATGTGGCTTCTTTAAAAACACTTGAATTCAGTAAAGATAGGTGTGCTTGCTTCTGTCTGATGCAGAATATGTAGTAATATATTTTTCTTCTAACTTATCCCTTTCTGAGGTTTTAATCCTCCTGCCTAATGTCCAAGTCTAGCTTTAATTCCTCAATAACTCTGAAATCAATCCCTCCCATTTCATTTCTCTATTCAGTTCTCAGACATTGTCTGTTTCCCCTGGGATATTTGCTATAACTTTAAAGGTGGGTATCCCCCTTCCTCCCTTATCCTCATTTCAGACACAGTGCTGTTTCCAAAGCTCAGTGCAGAAATATTCCGTGGTGCTATGTAAAGTTTCAGCCAATGCAGAGCTAACCCAGTTTTCAAGACAAATCAAGGCAAGACTATCTCACAAACAAGTACACAAAGGTTTGTTAGAAACCAAGGCCCATTTTATTGAAAATAAATGGTGTTCCCAGATGTAGACGTTACAGCCATTAACACATTCAGACAACAGAGCCAGAGAGCAAGAGAGGAAAGACTGGCATTTGAGAGCCAATAGGATGATACTGCAGATCCCAAGATCACGAAGATCCCTTCTAAAAATTTGCAGCTGGCAGTCAAAGATGTTGTCAATTTTGTAGTTTCTTGGACATAGAGATCTCGGCCATGGGTCTTTAAAAAAGCATTCTCTTCAGAAGTGTCCATTCAGAAGCAACTGCTCCTCTCCTAGGGATGCTCTAGCAGCAGGAATAGCATCTTCTGTAGCAAGATGGTTGGTATCCACAGCAGCTAGACCTGTAGTAGGTGCCATATCCACAGCCACTTCCACAGCCAGAGCCGTATCCACAGCCATAGCCAGAGCCGTATCCACAGCCATAGCCAGAGCCGTATCCACAGCCATAGCCAGAGCCGTAGCCACAGCCATAGCCAGAGCCATAGCCACAGCCATAGCCAGAGCCGTATCCACAGCCATAGCCAGAGCCGTATCCACAGCCATAGCCAGAGCCATATCCACAGCCATAGCCAGAGCCATAGCCACAGCCATAGCCAGAGCCATAGCCACAGCCATAGCCAGAGCCATAGCCACAGCCATAGCCAGAGCCGTATCCACAGCCATAGCCAGAGCCGTATCCACAGCCATAGCCACAGGAGCTGCCATAGTAGTTACAACACATGCTGTCAATGGGGAGAGGGGAGAATTCACTTGGGTTGCAAAAGAATATTTTTCAAGTATAGGTACCTCTACTATCCTGAGACCTTTATATACTGCCAGTAATTGTTAGAGCATACCATTCATTCCCTGACTTAACTAAGAAACATTTAAGCTATTGCATTCCAGTCACTGTTGACAGCCCATAATGGTTGCTTCAAATGAGCACATTACTTTGTAAATTCATTTAAAGAGCATCATTTCAAATTCCTCTGTTAGGGAAGTGTCTCAGTCAAATCATGTCCTGAAGCACAAAATTAATCTTTATGTTTGTTACCCAATGGCTATCTTATACAGCAAGGTTTAGAGAGAAGGTAAAAAATCTCTCTCTCTCTCTCTCTCTCTCTCTCTCTCTCTCTCTCTCTGTCTCTGTCTCTCTCT